AAAAAAAAAAAAAAAAAAAAAAAAAAAAAAAAAAAGAATACTCTTGATCATGACCTGAGCTGAAATAAAGAGTCAGATGCTTAACCACCCAGGCAACTCTATATTTACCTTTTTAAAAATCTTTTCTCTCTCTTTTTGAGTTAAAATTGGATTTGTAGACACCCCAGTGTTAGGACGTTGGAGAAAGGGAAGATAACCTTCAGTTTTTCTTTCTCACCTCAAGCCATGATCAGGAGTAGAGTTACTTAAAAAAAGTGAATTTTTTCTCTGATAGGCTCTCTGAAGTGGGAATTTACCCAGTTTCAATCTATTTAATTTCTCATGTATTTTTAAAAAATTTTTTAATGTTTATTTATTTTTGATAGAGACAGAGTGAAAGTGGGGGAGCAGCAGAGAGAGAGGGAGACACAGAATCTGAAGCAGGCTCCAGGCTCTGAGCTCTCAGCACAGAGCCTGATGCAGGGCTTGAGCCCACCAACTGCGAGATCATGACCTGAGCCGAAGTCAGACGCTCAACCAACTGAACCACCCAGGGTCCCCTCATGTATTATTATTATTATTATTATTATTAGCAATAGTGTAAACAATATTTCCCATGTGTTCAATGACTTTGGAGGGCCATAGATGGCACTCACTGCTTTCTCACCTCTGCAGTGATATTGGATGCTATTAAGGTTATATCATGATTTTTTTCTGATAACAAAATTCTCTTTCTCATATGGGTCAGAATATCATGTATAGTGGCAGAAAAGGAGCTTCTCAGCCTGTCGGTGGATTTCCAGATATGAAATTCCCACAATTTAGAAGAAACTAAAAGTATGAAAGCCATTTTCAACATGTGGTTGCCCACTGAATTCACCTGGGGAGCTTTAAAATAAAAGTTATATCCACAGATTCTACCTCTATCATTAAATCGGGATGGCTAGCATCCATAGCACCTTCCCTATGTGCTGGAGTGTACAGGTAGTGTTGAGAAATGCTGCCCAGGGTTAAAGGTGATGACTGAGCTTTCCCTTAGTACAACGACTGGCTCTATCAACATTAATTGGCTATCAGGACTTTGAGAAAATAGTGGGCTGTGGAAAAGTCAACACTATATAACTCTGCTTGTTAATTTTTTTTTTTTTTAAGCTATGGGATGTGGTAACTAAAAAGCGGCTGAGAAATATGCTCGGTCATTTGTCTGTGGTTGGGGCTCTGAGCTGGAACCACTATATCCTTAGCAGGTAAGAAGCATCTTATTGCAACCAATTATATTTGTATCATCAAGGGATTATAGGGGCTGAGTGAACAGATCTGTAATGTTTGAAACCAAAATCAAAACCAACCAAAATTAAACAGGCTATTAGTAGCAGTTATCACCCTACCCTCTCAGATATTCTGATCTTCTGGTGATGTGAGTGGTGCAGGGGCCACAGGTACCATGGTGGCTGTGGGCCTACACCATATGCTAGTACTGGAAAGTGAGGCTCAGGATTCGCTACATTGTTCAGATAAACATGTAAAACTCTGTTTAAGCAAAAAGTTTCTCTGTACCAAGTAATACCTACTAGAGGGATATTTTGTTGAAAGCAAGTATTTATTCCTATCAAGATCAATAATTTGGAATATGTTAAGCTTTCTGAGGTACATTTCCAGTTCATAGACCCACAGATGTCAGAGCTGGAAGGAAACTCATAGGTAAGTCAATTCCATGGTTCTCATACTTGAGCATGCAACAGCATCACCTGAAGGGCTCCTTAAAAGCACAGATTGCTGGCGTCCGGGAATTTCTGATTCAGTAGGTCTGAAGGTGCGCTGATAATTTATATTTCTAATTTCCAAAGAGATGCTGATGCTTTATCATTTCTGAAAACTACTGGTTTTGTCTAACTACTTCTTTTTAACCAGAAAAGTTAGGTGACTTGTCCTAATGATCCTACATCATTGATCTAAATACATATTGCTTTTAATAATTGCCATTCATCTTTTTACTGTAGTTTTTTAAATGTTTATTTATTTTTGAGAGGGGAGGTGGTAGGGAGGGATGGAGAGAGAGGGGGACAGGGGATCTCAAGTAGGCACTGTGCTGATAGTGGAGAGCCCAATGCGGGGCTCAAACTCAGAATCGTGAGATCACAACCTGAGCCAAAGTCAGACGCTTAACCGAATAAGCCACCCAGGTGCCCCTATACCACAGTTCTTAAGATAGGTTTAAATTAAATAAATTCCAAAGCCTCTTTATAATTTCTTTAAGTGGCTAAGATATACATATGAGATTTTAATACCTTGTGTTTATAAACCCAACTTAAAAATACTTAAACAAAATACCATATAAAGGGCTAATCATTTACTGTGAGAAGTTGTTGTAGTGAGGTCAGTTCTATATTTGAATTCCTTTCAGTCTGCATTGTTTAAGTGTAATTTTATTATCCATGAGGAAAATGAACAGATTCTTATAATAATAGCAGTGAACATTTTTGGAGTACTGTGTGCCAGGCTTGTACTCGTTACGTGTGTAATTGTGTTTTAATCCCTGCAATAATGCTATAAAGTGTTTTCTAACCTTCCCCCTGCACTTTTCTTAATGAAGAAATGAAGACACTAGCCTGAGGCCACATGGTTAGTAAAAGGCTTTGAACCCACATTGTCTGGCTGCAGAGCTCGTATTGTTCACCAGAATGCTAAGTGTGGTGCCTGAATAGTTTTTAAATATGATACTGGATTTTGAGAAATTTCAGAAATAAATAAAGGCAGTTATTTACTTGCTCCTTGGAGAATATTAAATTCATTCAGAAAGAGTTCATTAACTTTGATAGAGTGGTAGGATCTTTACCATTTTGGATCCAAATCACTAAGAGTAGATTTTATCCACTGATTTTGAATCATACTGCAGTTTTCTGTGACAATCAGATAGTTTTATACCCTTTTTAGATATTGTAGCATTAAAAAAACTAATAATGGATTTGTAGCTTAATAGAAAGAGGACACAATACATTTCTATGTTTGACATTTTACTATGAATATATATATTTACTAAAATATATTTAGTATATATACTAAAACCATTTCATTGGCACAAGAGGAAATATTCTGAATTCCAGGAAGGTATTATTTCCTAGGTTTGGTACATAAACTCATCCCCGAAAAGATATGGTAATCTTTCCCATAGCTGCCTGCATCCTAGCAAAGCCATTAGAAGTATCTATAAAAGGATATCCTCTCGATATCCAGATTTGAAACTCTGCCACACAATTTTTTTTTCACTTGTGAAAACAATCACCCAGGCAGAATGCTCTATCCTTATTAACCCAAAGAATGTTCAAAACCTGTGCTGTAAATCTGTCCTGAGGGGTCTCTTGGTAGTGTGAACTATGCTTTCCTTCATGTTTTCAAATGCTTATTAGCAACAGGGTTCAAGTTTTCTGTTAAGAAACCTGCCCCTTTACCTCTGTGCAGTGGGTCGAGGCTGGGCCGTGTTTATCATCACGATGTCCGGGCAGCCCAGCATCACGTTGGAACAGTTCACCACCAACAAGCCGTGTGTGCTCTGAAGTGGTCCCCTGATGGCCGGCTGCTTTCCAGTGGCTGTAGTGACGGATTGCTGACTATATGGCCCAGTGACCTAGGTGCAAAAGCACACGTTCAACCACTGAAAGTCATACCCCAACCTACAGCAGTCAAGGTAAGGGAGCCAGTCGCTTTCCAAGTTGCTCTTTACTCAGAGATCACTGAGTATCCTTCGCACCTGAGAACAAAGCCATTAAGCCAGTGGTTTGAGATTTTCTTCACCCAGAATTTGTTTTGGATTTTGCCATTACTCTCCTCAAAGATAATCCTATTTATACCTCCCATGCATCAGATTTTGTGGTTTGTAAGTGACTGAAACCAGAGTTAAGCTTGAGCTTCAGCAAAAAAGTAAATATATTTTTTCTTACAACTGAGGAGTACCAGATACATACAGCTGTTTCAAATATTGTCTGGATCTAGGGCCTTAAATAATGTCATTAGAGTTCTCTCTCTGGCTCTTGGCTCTGCTGTCTCTGTTTCATTTCATTCTTTATTCAGAGTCCATTCTGTGGGCAAGATAGCTCTTATCAGCTTTAAATTCAGATTCTCCCAGATGGAAACTGATGAAGAAGCTACCATTCCCTGTAACTTTGGTAGAAAAGTACCAGGCAGGACTCTGGTGTGAACTTGGACACATTCTCATCTCTCAACAGATAACTGCGGCCAGACAGATGGCTACACTGACTGGTGAGGCATGAGTCATGAGCTCACACCCATGAAAGAAAATCCATTACCAGAAGGAGGAGGAAGGGTGCTTCACGCTTAAGTCAATATTCCACCATGCTCTGCATAATATATATTTTTTATTTCTCTGTATTTTAAGTTCTTACTTCTAGTGGAAAAAAAAAATCCATACTTTGATTCCTTTGGTGACATAGATATATGTGTTGGCCTCAATCTAGTCCTGGGGTATTTATCAGTCATAGAGCAAAGAAATGGTTCTACTTTATTAACTATGAGCAAATTTATTGGAATGAGAACTTAAAAATGTATCATGAAGTTTCCTGATAGAGGGTATAATATATAGTACCTGCTGCTAAGGAATAGTAGTGGCCCAATACTCTGGCTTGTGGATTTTAATATCCACAGAACATTAAGAATGATTTTGGGTCCAAGTGGCCATTATTAATGATCTGAAAAAAAATCTAGGGAAAATGTATATAAAATATTCTGTCAGCAAATAAAATATAAAGCAAAATAAAGCAAACAGAAACCCAATACGTGAAAAATCCAAGCCAAGCCAAACAACGCCTTGTTGTCAGAAATATAATGAATTCAACCAAGAGTTTCTGAAACCTGAGCAAGCCAAGCTTGTGACAGCCTATCCCAGGATGGATCTATAGATCAGGATATACAGATAAATAAAGCTGACATTTGTTAGAACGTCCTTTAAAATGACCATTGGTCATCATTTCAATTATCAGTATAACTATGAAACACTAAATCTTATTTTTCAGAATTAACTATAGTCATTTATAAATAAGTGAGTCAGAGGCAGTTTTATTTCCTGAAAGGTATGAGGAGTTGAAACACATGAGAGCTTTTGAGTTGCGAGCAATCATGTGTGGATCCCTTTTGTCTTTTCTTCTCTGGCCTAGAACCGAAAGACACAGGGAGACAAAGGAAAGAAAAGCTGCATTTCATAACCAGACTCTAGGGGCGCATATCATTTACTCCAGCAGTGGATGTTTGCCCCATAGGACACATTTAGTGCAGGTTTTCGAACATATTATTGGGGGTGATTTTTCTTTGTTTAAAAATATTTGCAAGTGTTAGCAACATTTGAGGAAGGCACCTAACAGGTGATCCCCAGTACCCAGGAAGTAACCTCTAGGGATTGCCAGGGCTCCTGCCTTTCGATCAGAGGCCCAGGAGAGCTGTGGTGCATGCAGACCTCTGGCACTTCGGCTTACCTGAGTGTGGCACATTCCCCAACTCACTTTCTCCAGGGCTGACCTGCCTGTGTGCTTATTTGAACTTTAAAGGCCGTGGATTGGTGTCCCTGGCAGTCTGCAGTCCTTGCTGTTGGAGGCGGAATGAAGGATGGACGCTTACATATCTTGGACATAAATACTGGGCAAACTACCCAGACCCCAAGTATGAACTCACAGGTAAATGTCTCTGCTGGAGCTCACCTTCACTCTGCTCTTCTAGAACCTTGTGAAAATGGTTCATCAGAGAGCCGAGGACCCAAACACACCTCTCTGTAACTTGCTGAGTCTATAGGGATTTCAGTTCTCAAGAGTTTCTCTCTGTAAAACCTTTATCTGTGAGTCAAAAGTTAATTTGTGTGTCCTTTCCTCCCCAGCTTTTTTCCACATTTCCCCCTTTTTTTTTCAGCACTGCTTTGACTGTGTGCTAGTCTACTTAAATTTGTGGGTTCCTTGCACCTAAACCTATTTGTATATTTAGTCCTTTGTTGCCTTGGGATAAACTTTCCTAGAACTAATGGCATTCCTCTAACACCCTAACCCCAGCTGCGGACTGGAGGATGCATGTGGACAGAGCACACCACCTAGAGTCAGTTGAAATACATTCATAATAAATCAGACATTGTCATAATTCTGTATTTTGGGGGCGATTATTACAGATTTGTTCCCTAATCTGGCTACCAAAGACAAAGGAGATTGCAAGTGGCCAAGGTATTCCTAAGAACGATGTGACTGTGTGGGCCTGTCCGGGTCTGGCCAGGTCGGGTGGATTTTTCGGTAAGTAAATAGGTGAGTAAAATGCCACGTGTCTATAGCTAAGTGAGGTGTCGTTAACAGGAAATGCCTTAAATGAAAGATTTTTCTCCTCTGGCTCTTTGAAGTAGATATTTTGTCAGAGGAGACAGGCCTACACCCACCCCACCTTGTCGCATGTATGAGTGTTTCTGAATTTGACTAAGATTTTTCATAACTTAAAACTGTCATGTTGGGGCACCTGGGTGGCTAAGTCAGTTGAGTGTCCAACTTCGGCTCAGGTCATGATCTCACAGTTCGTGGGTTCGAGCCCCGCGTTGGGCTCTATGATGACAGTAGCTCAGAGCCTGGAGCCTGCTTCTGATTCTGTGTCTCCCTCTCTCTCTGGTACTCCCCTGCTCATGCTCTCTCTCTCTCTCTATAAACATTAAAAAAAATTTTTTTTAATTGTCATGTCTTCTCCTTCTTATGAATACCTGTGTGGATGAAACAGGAATGATCAGGGACAGTTTCTAAACTGTGTTTTTGAACTCTGGAATTGGTATTGTAAGTCATCTCACCTTACTTTGCAGAAGGACCAGCGGTGCTAGAACGTGTGGGAGGTAAAATAATGTGAGAAGGGCAAGATGTTGTTCTCTGAGGGAAGACCACTGAGGACCAAGAGGCTCTGGTGCTCACCTGCCCCTTCAAGTCAGGAAATGGCTCTTTCTCGGTGCAGTTCTAGAAACATTTATGGGGTGTTTCTTAAAAGGAATATCCCATGATGGAGAGCAAGACCTAGGCCTTGTCCTCAAGGGTCTTAAATCCTCTCAGGGACAATCTTGAATGTTCAAGGAGGCTCCTGGGTGAATAGGTATCCCCTTCCTACCCAGCCCTGGGAAATACGAAGATAGAAATGATGGTTGATGACGCAACAAAGTGTGGCATCCAATCTCTTGTAGCTTCTGATAACATTTCCTGTCTTCTTTCTCTTCACATACAACGTGTGTCCTTGTCAGTACCTGGGATTTATTTATTCATTGTTTACTTAATGTGCATCTAGCATGTGTGAGGCACTTTTGGGGGGTGTTGGGAATATACATGTAAACAAGACAGACATTATCTTTGCCCTCATGGAGACTATACTTTTGTGGGAAGAAACAAGACAAAACCCCAAATATATACCATGTTAGATGGTGGTAATATGTTGGCTCTGTTTGCAGATTCTGATCATGTTATTTGGCAACAAAAACCACCCTTCCCTGAAAGACTTCCTGCTTCTGCTGATCAGTCTGACTGGACCTCTGATTGACCTCAGAATGACCTTTATATCTTTATATCGTGTGATTTGGTGAATACAGATGTAGGCAGTTCTTGATAGAGCTACCTGGGGGGCCAGCCATGAGTGTAGGATGGTCATGAGTTGACCCTTTGTATATTTCAAATCATAAGACATGCAGTTTATGGGATGTTTTCTGATTAGAGAAACATTTTTAATCAAGCCTTAAATCAAGCCTTTTTAGTCAAGTTTTGATTCTTTACAAAACTACATTTCCAGTAGCTAGTTAGATCCTTCAGCCAGGTTGGGACATCTGATAGCCACTGGAGTAAATTTGCTGATATCTGGAATAAAGAATGAACTTAACCGGTACCTTTTCTTTTGTCTCTAGCTTTAACAAACTATAAATTCTTGGGGCACCTGGGTGGCTCAGTTGGTTGAGTGTCTCACTCTTGATTCTGGCTCAGGTCATGATCCCAGGGTCTTGGGATCGAGCTCCACATCTGGGCTCTGCACTGACCATGGAATCTGCTTGGGATGCGCTCTCTCTCTCCTTCCGCCCCTCTCCACTACTCACGCTCTGTCTCTCCCTCTAAATAAATTTAAAAAAAAAAAGCATTAAAAAAAAGCCATAAATTCTTTAACATCTTTAATAATGCTTTGTGAATTGTTTTCATTGATATTAGACAGAATTCCAAAGAGTATATTTAACCTTTTCTCCTCTTAACATGTGGTTGGAGAAGATGCTGTTACTACTTTTTTTTTTTTTTTTTTTTTTTTTTACAAATAGTTTATTGTCAAGTTGGTTTCCATATAACACCCAGTGTTCATCCCGACAAGTGCCTTCCTCCATGCCCATCTCCCCCCTCCCCCCCACACCCATCAGTCCTCAGTTTGTTCTCAGCATTCAAGAGTCTCTCATGGTTTGCCTCTCTCCCTCTCCCCCACCATCTCCCCCCTTCTTCTCCCCCTTGGTCCTCTGTTAAGTTCCTCCTAATCCTCCTATACGTGCAAACATATGGTATTTGTCTTTCTCTGCCTGACTTATTTCGCTCAACATAACACCCTCAAGGTCCATCCATGTTGCTACACATGGCCAGATTTCATTGTTTCTCATTGCCATGGAGTATTCCATGGTATAGATAAACCACATTTTCTTGATCCATTCGTCCGTGGATGGACACTTGGGCTCTTTCCATGTTTTGGCTATTGTTGAGAGTGCTGCTATGACCATTGGGGTACATGTGCTCCTATGCCTCAGCACTCCTGTATCCCTTGGGTAAATTCCTAGCAGTGCTATTGCTGGGTCATAGGGGAGTTCTATTGTTAACTTTTTGAGGAACCTCCACACTGTTTTCCAGAGAGGCTGTACCAGTTTACATTCCCACCAACAGTGTAGGAGGGTGCCTATTTCTCCACATCCTTGCCAGCATCTAGAGTTCTCTGATTTGCTCATTTTAGCCAGTCTGACTGAAGATGCCATTACTTTTGAGGCCTTAGACGCTAATTCTCATCTCTGATGCAATAGTATCTTCCATATGTGATATTTCTCAAAAATGTTTAGCAGAGTGGGTGTTACACAAAGATATGTCATGTGGTTAGCATTAAGAAAATGAAATAGGATACAATAGAATGGAAAAAATGTATAAGTAGGTATTATTTTGTGAAACTTTTGTTACACTGTGCAGTACACGTATGTGTCCAATACGCGGTCGCTACATAAAATGTAGTTTTGAACTGTGAGTTGTGGTCAGAAAGTTTGGAAGAAGGCTATTCTAGATTGTGGTCATGCCTTTCCTTAGTCTCACTCTGTTAACCACAGTCATGATTCTCTGGGGGGAAAATTCAGTTAGAGAAGCCTCACCCATTTAACTTCAGAAGAAAAGAAACTTACCATTGTCTTTCCCCTCAGCCGCCCAAAGTTGTAATTTACAAGCTTCGAAGGGGGAGTAGGTGACTTTCTGGCCTTTGATTTTGTCTCCTCAGTCCGTAGCACGTGCATCGATATGCGGTCTCCTTTATCATGATGGCTGCATAAAGAAAACAAAACTGTAAGACAATACTTTTCTCTTGTCTCGGGCAGTTTCTGGTAATTTGTTACCGCAGCCCAAGGAAACTAGTACAAGGGGGGAAGAGGTCTGAAAGGGAAATGGCAAAGCAAAACCTCAGCCACTTCCGGGTACTGACCACAGTTGGCCCCGAACATTTACCACAGCACAGGCTCCGTGGGAGCACGAGCTCCAGACATGGCAGGTTTGGGAGAAGCCTTCATCCTGCGATGGGATTTGGGCTCGCACCTTGGCAACGGCTCTTGTCATGTGAGATATGATCTGTCTTCCCTTCTTCCCACAGGCCACGGGGGCAGAGTGCTGCACCTGGCTTTGAGTCCAGACCAGACCCGAGTGTTTTCTGCTGCAGCTGACGGCACAGCCTGTGTATGGGACTGCTGCGAGTCATTCAGCCCCTCTGGGAGCTCCAGTTTCCTCACTTCGAAGCGAGAATGATGACATTGGCCTTGTCTTCTCCACGGGGTTGTGGTGAGGATCAAACAGGATAAAGTGCTTTTCCTGCGGTCAATGTCTGTTTTCCTGACTTTCTTTCTCAGGTTGCTTTAGTTTCTCTGCTTCCTCCTGTTGTGTTTCCCAGACCTTGTCTTCGCCTCTTCTCTCTCTACTTTCCCCTCCCTCCTCCTCCTCTTCTTTCTCCTGTTCCGTCTTTTTTCTCCATCTCTTCCTTGTTAGAGATGCATTTCCACTGCTATACTCAGAATATTTATAGTAGAGATTTCCAAACCCCTTTTTCCCACCTGACTTTTTTTTCCCCCCAAATTCCAGCCTCACACTGCCTCTGGATATTTCCTTTCTGAGATCCTTTCTTATCTTTAGCTCAAACTCAATACGTTAAAAATACAACGGATTTGCTTGACAAATATTGATTAAAATCCTACTATATGGTAAGCAGTATGTTAAGCATGCATATTGTTTCCTCTCAAAATGAGATCTTCCATAGGACTTTCTTGTCCCCTTTCATGGTCTCATCCTTATCCTGGTCATCCCATCACTCAGGAAGCCTCCTGATTATTCTGCTCCATGTTTACTCCATTTACCTTTTGTTCTCTCTCTTTCTCTCTCTCTCTCATTTCAGCCTAGTCATGTTCTGAATACCGGATGACCACTCTGTTGTAATTACTTCTAAATGGTTTTCCTATCTTTATCTTTCATGGGTCTCCACACCACTGTTAGGTTACACTTCTAAAAGCACAGTGGTGATATCCTCTGGCCCCTGCTCAGAAACTTCCAATGACTCCATATTACCTAAGCCCTTCACCTCAACCTTCGGGTCCCGAGCCCAGAACCTGAACTTATGATACCTGTGCTTACCTTGGCTCTGCCATAACTGACTGAATGGCCCTGGTGTGTTACAACATTTCTAAGAATAGGAATTTGGATTTGATAACTGCTAAGCCTTTTTTTAGGCTCAATTAGGCCATTGTTCTTTTTTAAATTACCTTTTTAAAATGTTTATTTATTTGATAGAGCATGAGCAGGGGTGGGACAGAGAAAGAGTGGGACAGAGGATCTGAAGCGGCCTGGATGCTGACAGTGGAGAGTCTGACGTGGGGCTTGAACTCACCAACTGTGAGATTGTGACCTGAGCCAAAGTTGGACGCTCAACTGACTGAGCCACCCAGGTGCTCATGTTCTATCTTGTATTTTATTTTATTTTTTCAGTGTTTAATTTTGAGAGACAGACAGAGCATAAGTGAGGGAGGAGCAGAGGGAGAGAGGGAGAGACTAATCTAAAGCAGGTTACAGGCTCTGAGATGTCACCACAGAGCCTGACACGGGGCTTGAACTCACTAACAGTGAGATCGTGACCTGAGCTGAAGCAGGACGCTTAACTGACTGAGCCACTGAGGCGCCCCCCATGTTCCATCTTTTAAATGTTAATCCACACTCATCTCCTGTGTTGACCCTGGGCTGAGTCTTGTGATTTCCTGCCTTGGTGCCTTTGTTGGAGCTTTTCTTCTAGTCTGGAATGCCTACTCTCTTCCCTTTCTTTGTTCATCTGCTAGGTCCAAACCTTTCCAGGAAGTATTTTGAGATGATGGTACCTAGGTTTGAACTCTTGGCATCAGTCTTTATCACCCATTTGATATTAATATACTATTCAGATCAAGATATGAACAATTTATTGTACCTTAAAGACTTCCTTGTACCCACTCTCAGTCAACACCTCTCCATTATTCTGACATTTATCACCAGAGATTAGTTTTGTCTTATGCAAACCTTCAGATAAATGGAATCACACTCTATTTATTCTTTTTGTCTAGCTTCTTTCACTCAATATTGTTTGTAAGATTAATTCATATTGTTACATGTATCTGTAGATTGTTCTTTTTATTGCTGTGTAATATTCCATTGTATAAATGTACAATTGTTTATCCATTTTACTGATGAATATTTGAGCTATTTTCAGTTTCAACTTTAAGAATAAAGTTGCTATGCACATTCTTAAACATCTCTTTGGTGAACAAAAGCACTCATTTCTGAACAAAGCACTAATACTGAGGTGTGAAATGGCTAGATCATAGAATATATGTCTGTTGAGTTTTAAGTAGTCTTTGCCAACTTTCCTCAGAAGTATCAGTTTACACGTCTACCAGCAATGGATGACGGTTCCACGAAACTACTTTTTAAGTGGACTTCAAAATCTGTAATGTTGCCAGTAGGGACTATTCCATCCTCTCATTGCTGTTAAAATCCTAACTGGAAATTAGGGATGATAGAAGGTATCTGCAATATCATCTTAGTGACTATCTCAGAGCCTCTATTTTAGATATCAGCACCAGACCTCACTTTTTAGTGTGGGGATTCCCATCACTAGTTGCATATTAGTATCACTATGGAGATTATATAAAGAATACTATGTCCTGGGTCTCACTGAATTTCTCACACACATTGTGTGTGCGTGCACATACATGTACGCTTCTAAAGGAACTGATGGAAATTGAAGGAGTCCATTCACATAATCACATCTTGAAGGGGTTGCTGGACTGATGACTATCCACCAAGCTCAATGTGCTGAATAACATGGAGGTTTTTTCAGGAAAACTTTGAGCACTGACTCCCTAGTATGTGAGGGCAGCCACCATAACCACCATGTTGATTGGCCCTACCCAGGTTCAGGGACGAAGAGAACCAAGAAATCACCTAGATAATCTAAGGCTTAAATACCAACTAATGAGAAAGGAGGGTGACTTTTTCTTGTATACTTTCCTCGTTTGTCCAAGTGTTCCATTTCTGTCCCCTAGAATTTTACTTTCTATTTCTCCCCTGCCTTTGGAAAACACCGTAAGGCATTTCCTCTTCTAACTCAAATGCTCCAGCCTGGCTGTTTCTGTTTCCTGCAGAATTGCTGGGCCCATTGCTGTTTTTGTTACCAGACAGACCTGACCCTATTGTCACTCCTGCTGGGCCCCACTGAGGTAGTGAATAATTCAAGCAAAGCATGCGTGTCACTTGACACATGGATGACATTGTGACATTGGTTTCCTCACCTCTCCCTTGCGTTATCCACACGGTTACTTTGCCAATGCAGATCTACCCACTAAAGTTACAAGAGAAATGGGTACAGTTACACACACTGATTTTATTTATAAGATTAACAGGTGACAGCAAATGAAATGAAATACAGTTATGTAAATTGCCCCTTCACAGTCTTATTTATCCAGTTGAGATATTTCTGTGAGAGAAGGGTATAGATGCCGGGTCCTTGAGGGTCTCCGCATCTCCCTGGAAGGCCAAAGGCAGTAACGCCTCTAAAAGTACCATCACATATCAAAGGGCTCCCAGAATCTCCCTGGAGGAACACAAGACGGGTAATGGAGATCAGCATGGAACACAATCACTAGCAGAATGGAAAAAGTTCCATTTAACATAAAACATTCAACGTGGAGTTAAAACCAACCTTGACTTAAATGAAAATTAGTGCTTTAAGTCTCAAAATGTTAGGGGCGCATGGGTGGCTCAGTCGCTTAAGTGTCCGACTTCAGGTCATCCTCTCATGGTTCGTGAGTTTGAGCCCCACGTTAGGCTCTGTGCTGACAGCTCAGAGCCTGGAGCCTGCTTCAGATTCTATGTCTCCCTCTCTCTCTGCCCCTCCCCTACTAACATTCTCTCTCTCAAAAATGGATAAACATTTTTTAAGAAGCCCAAAATGTTGGCAAATATTTTAGTATTCTAAAAATTGGCTTAATTTATTTATAAATCATTGAACATGAAATTAAACTTGTATTACTGTTCATGTTATCCACTAATTTTGAGACTGATTGTGCTTTAGCAGGAAAACCCTCCTGAGGCAGGCTTAGTTGGTTGAGCATCCAACTTTTGATTTTAGCTCAGGTCATGATCTCACGGTTCTTGCGTTCAAGCCCCATACTGGGCTCTGGGCTGACAATGTGGAGGCTGCTTGGGATTCTCTCACTAACTACCCCCCCACCAAGCCCCATCCCTCCCCTGCTTGTGCTCGTTCTCAAAATGGATAAGACAAACCCTTTGTTTGTCATTTTAAAAAATGTTTATTTATTTGTTGTGAGAGAGAGCAAAAATGAGAGGAGGAGGGGCAGAGAGAGGGAAAGAGAGATAATTCTGACAGAGGGCTCTGTCCTACAACCTGGAAATCATAACCTGAGCTGAAATCAAGAGTCAGACACTTAACCAACTGAGCCACCCAGAGGCCCCTGTCATTTTCTTAAAATGCTTAATAACTTAAGAGGTAAAATAGTCAAATGCAGATGGGATGTTGAGGCAAAGGGTAAACATCATGGGTTTTCTAGTTTCTCCAGCAGATTGTTTTCCTAAAGAGAACAAAACCAAAGCAACTTTTCCCTTGATTCTGTCAGATAGAAATTTCTCCCCCAAGTCTCTGTGAAGCATCTGACACTAGACGGGAGGTCTCAGAAGCCAGTGATCGCACTTCGAAGCTAAGGGACTTCACTAGCAGAGACCTTTCAGTTGGCCGTTGCTCAATGCTTTATGTGTCCTGTGCCATCCACTTGTGTGACCCTGTTTTCCCTCATGGAACTCTAGAATCAGCATATTTAAATGTTTTCAGATCTAGAGTCTGAAGTGGCCATTTCACTGCTCTGGCTTTAGGAAAGACTGGTGGTGCTGGACAGAGGGCCACTGAGGCACGTACATGGAGCTCTGCGAGCACCAGGCTCTGAGGGCCCAATCCCCTCCCAGCCATGTGAAGGCATCAACAATCCTTCCTTTTCAGGCAAAAACTAGACTTATGAGTGTATGAATTAAGGAACTATGTGCAAGCCTGGGACCCCTCCTGGGTAGGTCTATTCATGCAGTGCCTGAAATTTTCATCATTAGCACCTCAGGTTTGATTCATCCAACAGCCACTTCGGAGGGGTCTTGGGCATTGAGGGAACAGGAGAAGACGGCTAAGTTTTGACGGCAAAGGGTGGCTGTTGAGAGGGGGACAGGCACACTGGGACTCTGCCGTGGCTTTAGGGTGTTGCATATGGTTCCAAAGGCATGAAGGTTCTGGGTTCCTGGATTGCC